ATATACTATTTTTTAAGACTTAGCATGAGCAAAACAAATTAACATATTTTTACAAAAAAATATCCCAGAATGACATCAGAATTCACAAAAAATTTTCATACTTTAATAGTCAGTTGTACTTAGTTTAATTTGTAATGTATATAAATATAGGTAGAAAATAAGCAAATATTGATAAGCTAATGAGGATCACAAAGCACTGCCTAGAGCCCCCAATCAGGCTTGCGACCCCCTGCTGGAAAGTGGGTAGGGGTAGTATGCACTAGTTCTGCTTTGGTGACTGCTACAAGACCTAGGTCTACTTTTGACAATGGTCTATGTTTTTGACTCTTGTGTAAACTAATTTTTTGACTCTTGTGTAAACCATTTTGACTCAAATATAGCTACTTATTTACAATTCGTTATGCTTTTTGTCCTCTAAGACATGAGATGATCCAACAAGGAATGAAATGTTGTTAAATCCACTAACTTAACATACTGGAAGACAACACTATCATTAAGGTAGAGGCTCTGGGCAGAGGAAAAGTCTTCACAACACAGAAGTGTCCTGGGTAAAATGATAAACTACATCCGTATCCTGGGTAAGATGATGTCCAACAGCAAGGCCTCTGGAAGTTTTGAGGAGCGTGGAACCACCTCTTAATTCCTGGTGTCCCCAGGTTCACCCTGACTTGGTATGGTAGCACTTGTTAGGGTCCCAACTATGGGAAATAGTTAACCCCCAAACTGGGATCAAAACACTATCAAAGTGTAAAAATATGTTTTAATACCAGCAATAAATTTTTTGAGGAAAAATTATTACCAACAATACATTATTACCAGCAATACATTTTGGAAAAAAAATATTACCAGCAATACATTTTGGAAGGAAAAAAATATTACCAGCAATAAAAATCTTATTGGGATTAAATAACCCATTGAGGTTGATATGCCGTAAAACAAAACATAACAAACCAAACCAAGCAACACAGAATATAATAATTTCCTATGTTTATTTACATATTGTCTAAGAAAGTGCCACACATGGAAATATTTCCTCCTTCCTCAGAGAAGATAATCAGGATATTATTTTTTAACAGATCTTTTAGGACATTGTTCAGTGACCAAATTGTTTTCCTTGCAATAAATCACTTGGGGAAAAACAAGTCTTTGTCTTTCCTACACTGAACAAAGTGGTACTTACATTTTTAGGCTTTAAGAATTTTTTTCTCCTACTTAGAGTGAAATATCTATTCTGACAATCTTCTAATCACTATCCACTCAGGCACAGAACAATTTTTGACAGTTTGACATTCCTTGGCAAGCTGAGTGAAAGTTTGTTTCCTATTCATGAAATCCTGTCGTCTTATGCATGTGATGGATTTGAACCTCTCAGAACATTGTTTTTGTTTTTTTCTTTTTGCAGCTATTTCTTTTCAAAGCCTTGGTCAATTGTCTTCAAAGCAGCAGTGAAACAATAGTGTTTTTCTCTGTTTGCAGAAGATTTAGAATAATTTAATGATTTGTCAGCTTAATGTGTTGACTGGTAAAGGTCAATTATGAAATCTGACTTCTAACACCAACTTTACAATAGTCAATTTAGACAATAAAAATTTGGCAAACTTGAACCTTCATGACCACAAAAAACACATTGTCAAAAAACAGTTTTTTCCTTGACCATGCTATTATTTTAACTACCATCCATCTTCTGCAATGTTTATTGTTTTAAAAAGTGATGATTAGAATTGTAATAAAACCAAAGCATATGATGAAAGTGAAATTATACATTTTTTCTTGAGAATTTACAACAAAAATATTAAACACTATTTATTTATTAGATTGTTTATTTACAAGAATAATTTTATATTTACTACATTCTAAAAACTAATACAATGCAATATTTGTCATTTACCAATTTATTTAAGAAATAAATGTGAAAACAATTTTTTATTCATAAATTTATCAACATTTACTAAATTATTAAAATATGTGAACCAACTACAAGGAAATCCTTATTATTTACCATTTTATAAAGTTTTAATCAATTGGCAATTAGCCAATGTTTTGCCAATCAATAAACAATATAATGGGATAAATAAACAATCGAATAAATTAATAGTGTCTATTATTTTTGTTGTCAAGTTTCAAGAACAAAAAAATGTATAAATTCCCTTTCATATATTTAGGTTTTATTACAATTCTAATCATTGCTTTTTAAAAGAATAAATCTTGCTGAGGAGTGAAGGTAGTTAAAATAATAGTGTTGTCAATGGAAAAATTGTCTTTTTGTCATTGCAATTTTTTTGCCAAAGATTTTTTCTGAGTTGATTTATAGCTTCAATTATAGTCTTAATATTGTTTTCACACTGTAAATAAGCTTGTTGTTGGTGTTTGCAGCTGAAAATATATCAGAAAATTCCAAGCACAAGATAACTCTTCAGCATCATAATAAAAACAGTCAACGATGAGTTATCTCATGGTGGGCAGTTAATGTGTTAAGAAACGTCTGGAATACAATATTTAA